TTATACCCTCAGCCATATTGCTAGAGAGGGTATATATAATTTGATATGGCCAAAACGTGCTTCATTGAAATAACGGTTTTAGACCCTAGGTCTCTTTGGACAAAATCCGTTTCAAGTTTCATTGAGTCGATCTAGCTATGTCCGCCCGTCTGTCTATCTCGCTGGCTGATGCACACCATATCAAGGTCAAGTGGGAAAATAGCCATTATCGGTCCACTCCATCAAGTACCACGCCAACAAAGGGTCAACGATTTTGAATGATTAAAACTCTTATAAAATGTGATGTAACAGTCCGATAGTCTAGTGTGAAGATGGAATATATCGGTTCACTCCTTCTGGTACCTCCCCCACCATGGGTCAACATTTTGAATATCAATGAGACTCATAAAACGCGGAATTAACTTCCGACTTCATTTCAAATTTGGCACATCTCAATATTTCCATCAACACAAGATCTGTTATAGAGATGATAGAGATCCGACCACTTGGTACTTTTCCCGCAAAGGGTCAAAGTTTTGAATACCCAAAACGATAATAAAATCCGAAATAAGCATCCGGTTCCCCTCATATTCCACACATCCTATTATTTCTACTAACACAAGATCTACTGGGATATGGGATATATCGGTTCACACTTTCTGGTACCTCCCCCACAAAGGCTCAAAATTCTGAATATCCATGGAACTCATAAAAAGCGAAATTAAATTCCGATTCCATTCAGACTTGACACATCTCAATATTTCTATCAAAAAAAAAAAAAAATAAAAAGTGGTATAGATAAGACCATTCCTTCTGGTACCTCACCCACAAAGGATCAAAGTTTTGAAAAACAAAACTCTAAACGAAAGCGAAACAAGCATCTAACTATCTTCAAATTTCACACATTCAAACATTTTTGCGAAGATGATGTGTATCTGCGAACTCCTTCTGGTACTCACCCACAAAGGGTGATTCATCAATTTGAATAATCGTAACAAAAGTCAAAATATCCTTAAATATTCGATAATTGGCTGAGGGTATACGTCTGTCGACAAAACCAACTGATACTTTTAAACTTGTTTTCGACAAATTTAGCATTTTTCCGAATTATCTGCAAATTTCCTGTAATTTTCACTGTCCAATTGCACGTCTGGATTGTATATATTTAATTTTTCAAGGATTTCCTGCATAAATAAATTTTGTCATTCCGCTTGTAACACCTCAAAATATGCGTTTTAGACCCCACAAAGTATATATATTCTTGATCAGCATAAAATTCTATGTCGATGTCCGTCCTTCTATCCGTCTGTTGAAATCACTCTAGCTTCCGAACGAAATGAAGTAGGTTGATAAAATTTTATTCAAATGTATATTAATCTGCAGGACTTTTGGTATTGAAAATGGGTGATGTAGTCCACGTTTTTGAAAATTGCCAAAATCGTTTCAAAGGTGAGGGTATTCAAAGTTCGGCCCGGCCGAACTTAAAGCTTTTTTATTTTTTTAATAATTATAAAAAAAAAACTTTCTGGCCAGGAGTTATGGATTTTAACAATTTTTTTTTAACTTTTCCAAAGTCGTGAATTTTTTTAAAAATCTTTTTTTAATATTTATATTTCTGGAGATAAATCTTGGATATTTTTAAATATTTAAAAAAGAGTTCATAGTGCAAAAGCAAGAGTCATGATTTTGGGCTATGAACTGTTGTTTAATATTTGTATATTTTTTTTAAATTTCAAAGTTATTTGTCAAAAATTCCTATTGAATTATTATTAAAAAATTGTTGGCCAATAATTTTATGTTTTTATATTTCCTGATTAAGATTACATTTTCAGGGACTTGCTGACAAAAAGTAGCAGTTTTATAGTACATCTTCAAATATTTCTCTCCCAATAACTGCCTCCCAATAATAAAAAACTACAAAAATCCGTAAGAAAACTCTTGCCTCATTTTTTAGTTACTTTTTCATATTTTTTTAAAGAACTGTGAGCAAAATATCGATTTTTAAATTTTTTCCACGATATCGTGGATTTCGTAGGATCTTTTAAAAAACTGTCTTCAAAAATTTTCGGCATGTTCATGTAACAACTTCTTAAGTTAGATTTGCCATTCATTGATTGGCAATAAAATATTCTTCGAATGTTGTTTTTACAACCACCTACTATCCGTTGAAGTCGCATAAAAAGACTTCAAAGCATTTATATATTTGTATTATTTTTTCTGCAATATGTAGCACTTACATATGTATTACGACATATTTATAAGCTGAACTACAATATTCATGAGTCATGAGACAACATAAAAAAAGGCCGGCTTTTCCCATTGTTCTTTAAAATTTACGGCTTTATGTTAAGCTGTTGTTATGCATATTTGTTGCCGGCATGCGGACACTGACGTCTTCGCATTGATGATTTCCTGACAGCCAAGTGACTGGCGAGAGGTACTCCCAAAGTGCTTGCCAAAAAACAGTAACTACTCAATGCAATGTAGACAGCAATGCATGATTACAATTTTGACATTTAACACCAGAGGTGGGAAGTAGAGACAGCTGTAAAAACGACAACGAGGTGTTGGCTTTAAATTTTTCTGTTATTTCTACTGAAAACAAATAACAATATTTGATTGGGATTTTTTGGATGTTTTTTTTGGAACGATTAGGATTTTTTGTCAAAACTAGTTTCGAATACTTTGCCAAATATTTTAGTCAAATCTCCAAAATTTCCTATGTATTTGAGAATGTTTTCCATTTGCAAAATGGTTTACATTGTCTAGCCAACGCTGGGGGAATCTATTACGACGATTTGACAAGATGTAGGAAATGAAACATAAAAACGAAAACAAACTAGTTTTTATTCCAAGTCATTCACATGCGATTTTTGCCAGCAGAACTGCATCACAATGGAAAAACTGTCAATAAATTCTATTGGTGGAATATTTTTATTTCACTTCTCATATCAATTAGCTGATCGATAACATTTTAAAAATCGCTTATCATAGTAAAAAATTTTATATTCTTATCGTTCTGGAACAGTCCAATTATTAACTTTGTGATTGCAACATTTCGAAATAATATCGAAATTCCCGACATTATTTTACCACAAGAGGTGAATTCATGTAGTAATATTTAATTATTATTATTATGTATCCATATGAATGTTACCGAAATGAAAAGAATAATATAAGCAAGTAAAAACTAGTTTTATACCCTCCAATATTTGTAAAGTATGTATGGGAACTATAGAGAAACCTTGACCTATATAGAAAATGAACTGCTATAGGAGCAAAATTCTTTACGAAATCCAAAATGTAGCTAAAATTGTCAAAAGAGTGAATATAGGAAGGTACCATTATATAGGGGCTGGCTATACTATAACATGGACCTATTTAGACAATATTCTGCCAAACGGGGTAGAACACGTTAAGAACTCCAAATTCCATATTTTGAAATATAGAGTGGCTAAAATCATCAAAATACCGAATATGAAGAGGTACAATTATGTTTGGTCTATATGAAAACGTTGACCGATATAGCTCATCTTCGAACTCGACACTGCTTGCAGACAAAAGACAAATCTATGCAAAATGTTAGCTCTCTATCACATGGGCGGCGAGAGGGCTACTTCGACTTATAACCTTACGCTGATCAAAAATATGTTTGTGTCGCCTTTGGCACGAATTGTGGCCTTCAAACGGCCAATGAAACCGCCACACGCTGCCCGAATGTTGCTCTGCTGTATTTTGGCCCATTCCCGGCGAAGCGCGGTGATCGACACTCTGGTATTTTTTAGTGCCAACCTTGCTTTCCAAAATACTCCAGACACAATAGTCCAACGGATTGGTATCCGGAGATTTTGGTGGCAATTGTGCGCTGGAAATGAAGCGAGTGCGATGGTGCTGAGTCCTGTTGGAATGTCCAAGGTCTGCGGCCAAAATGTTTGCGTGGTAAAGGCTTTTTTGCGATAATATTCGGCATTTATTCTGATTCCGCGGTCGATTAGTGCGAGCGGAGAGCGACCATCGGCTGTTCTGGCGGCCCACACCATTATCATGGCCGGCGCTTGAGTTCTGGTGGCCAACCGAAGGTGCACATTTTCAGCTGACCTCTTTGACAAGTAAACACGATCATTTTGTTTGTTTACAAACTGCTTGACAACGAATGTTTTCTCATCGGAGAAAACCAAATTCGGCAGTTCACCACTTTTGGCCAAGCGAAGCAACTCTTTAGCTCTTTTGAGTCTATTTTCTTTCTGTTGCGGGGTAAGTTCTTGCACTTTTTGGAATTTCAATGGCTTTACCCCGAGCTCATTTTTCAATATTTGCCATATTAAATATTGCGATATGTTCAGGTCACGAGCCAATTTTCGGCCACTGCGCACTGTATATTAGAGCGATAGCTATATCTGAACCGATGTTCGTCAAAATTCAGGTCATTTGGATATTGGCCATTTGGTGCAAAATTAACCCGAAATCGGTTGAAGATATATATTTATTTATGGAAGCTATATCTAAATCTGAGCCGATTCCCCCCCAATTTCAATAGGGCTCGTCCTTGGGCCAAACAACTATTGTTTGGAAAATTGCATCTCAATCTGATAATAAATGTGACCTGTGACCTGGCCGTTTTGTTCACAAAAAAAGAGCTGTTCTGAACTCCAACCCCATAAAAATTCTATGTATGTATATTGGTCCTTACTTGAGAAGTGTAGGGCGACTTTAAAATCTAGAAAAAATATATATCAAAAAGCGTCCAGACGTTCTTAAGTTATAAATAATATATAATAATATAAATAATTTTCTGTTTTTGATTCATTTTATCCTCTAAATACTTTGCGATCATCTCCCCCAACAGTAGGCTTCTTTTCTGACCTTAACCCCACCTCCATGCAAAATTTTGTGAGGATCGGACCATAATTGCGACCTGTGCGTGATTACAATATAGAATGCATTATTATATTGTTGTTCGTTATAAATATTATTTAATTATATCGAATTAATTTATTCCATTCGCTATTCGATATTTTCAGTGTACGATGCTTCGGTGCGAAATGCCATTGGCACCGGCAGTAAAGTCTTCTATCAAATGGGACATTTTGATCAATGCTTAGAAGCTTCGAGTAAGCCAGCAACAACGACAACAGCTACATCAATGGAGACATCTTTGAATGACGGGATTTACAAGGAAACAATACCAGTTCAATATTGTCTAGTCGATGTGCGGATCAATGGAATAATACTGGACTCAGACGAGGCGGAAGGTGATGAACAACAACAAGGCGAGGTAAGTGTTTAGAAAATAACAATTTATTTGCAAAAACAATCTATTGTTTGTTTATAGTATTTTGTAATAGCAATGATTATAATTGATTTATGCATGTAAAAAAAAAAAAAAAAAAAAAAACAAACGACTCACGAGGAGGAAACTAGGCGAGCAATGAACTCGGTGATTCACAGTAAAATTATTTGCTTGTGGCTTAAGTGGTCACATGGAACCTCAAATGCGATTCTATAACATTTTCGGTAGTTAACGACAATAACACTGTGCAACACAAAAAATAATTACAGCAAAACGAGCTGATTATGAAAGTAAAAATAAACAAGTAAAAAGGCATCAGTCGGTTTTGCCGACAGATCTATACCGTCAACCAATTTTCGATTTTTAAATATATTTTGACTTCTGTTATTATTATAATTCAAGAAAAGAAAATCGATCATTTATGTCCAATTTTATGGGAAATCATATATTCCATATTCATTTCAGAATTCTGGTTGAGAGAAATATTTAGATTTATTTAGATCGCTGACTTGTTTCGTCATGACATGTTTTCGTCATGATATTTTCACAGATAAAAGTATTAAAAATTGAAGCCCTTGTGGGTGAGGTACCAGAAGGGGTTCGCAGATATATATCATCTTCACAACAGATCTTGTGCAAGCAAAAATTAGTGTGTGTGTATGTGTGAAATTTGAAGAGAATTAGATGCTTCCCTGCGGGAAAATTAATTGGTTTAAATCTAACTTAAAATTAGTTTAAAAAAACCACAACTAGTTATTTTTTGATTTATTTCCTTTACGCCAACTAACTATTTTAACATGGGGATGAGCTAGGCAGTGGACAATTGTCCTTTCCTGTATTACTTTTAAACTAACTATAAACCGGTTAAAAAAAAAAAACAATTTATAACCAATTTATAACTAACGCTTTTTTGACCGACTTGTAGTTAGTTCAAAAAGAACAATTTATAACTAGTTGAAATTAAACCAATTTATATCTAAATATTTTTGACTGATTTTTTGTCAGCTTAAAAAAATACCAATTCGTTTATTAAAATTCAATTTTATTTATTAAAACAAATATATATTTCAAAAATTATACAAAATTATTTTACTGATTTTTTTCAATGCACACTTTGTGAAAATGCATTTTTTTGACGACATTAAGAACTTTTCGAAATTCATTGTTTGGGTCTTCCGTCTGTGATTGCAAGGCCCCCATTAGACATTCGAAAACATTTTGATAATCTTTCAGTCGTTTCTTACCATGCGTCCCATCCGTATTAAAGTCAATTATGATGTTCGTTGACAAAACTTCAGAAATCGATCTATGAAGTGGTCCTTTTAATAACGTCTTTAACTCTTTAATCTGAAAATAGAAATTTATTTACCATTAGAAGAATATAAACAACAATGCTTTAAAGAAAAAAAACTTACATATGTTAAACGATTATCATCGTTTATCTCATCATTTAGGGTTTCCAAATCTGACAAGGTCTGTATTGGGAAGGATTTCCTTATGCTTTTCGTGTGATTGTCCTGTTGTACCAATTTTTGTGAGGCTAAAGCTGTCATAATTGCCTCATTGTTTAAACGCATTGTTGTCTTTAATTGATTGATACTTTCTAAAATGTAAGAAGGTTAAAAATGCATACAAATAATGTTCTTGGTTTTTACCATTTAATTCATTAAATTTTGCCTCCATAGTCTTAACGAGGCTTCTACAGGAGGGACAATTTAAATTAATATTTTCTTGGTCGTTTTGTCGGTTTAGATTCATTTTAGATTAGAATCATTCTCTATATCAATAAATACATTTTCACTTGATTCCTCCCCTTCCACACGCTTTCTTTTATTTAATGACTCCTAAACCACACTTTCTTCACTTTCACCCAAAGGCATACCAGAATTTAATATATTCAAGTAATCCTCCCTTTGGGATTTAATTAATTTTCTTAAATGAGATTTGCTTGGAAGCATTTTTAATATTTTTAAATTACCCTTTATATTTCACTTTTTTCACCACAAATAACGCGTCTTAATCGATTGACATCCAAACACGAATGACTTCTTTTTTTCATTTCATCGCTCAGCAAAGTGTTTTGTTATTGTTTTTTATGTATGGTATGCAATTCTAACGGTTTTTGCTTTTGGTGTTGTGATCTCTTGAGAAATAGAGAACTTATATGTGTTTTGTTTTTGCAATTTATTTTCATTTTGGTGTTTGAAGTGGTTGATATCCAGATGACTTTTCAACCAATTTGAAGTTAGTTGTAGAATAATGCATTTATAACTAACGATTTTCTCAACTGGTTGAAAAATGCCCCGCTGGAAAGTTAGTAAATGCATTATTCTACAACTAACTTCAAATTGGTTGAAAAGTCATCTGAATATCAACCAGTTGTGATTACTTACCTTCTGATCTCCAGATGACTTTTCAACCAATTTGTAGTTAGTTGTGGAATAATGCATTTATAACTAACGATTTCTTCAACTGGTTGAAAAAAGTCTCGCAGGGTTATATCTGATTTTATAATCGTTTTGGTTATACAAAACTTTGATCGTTTGTGGAGGAAGTACCAGAAGGAGTGGTCCGATCTACACTATATTCTTTTGATGAAAATATTAAAATGTACCATGTCTGAATGGAATCCGATGTTAATTTCGCTCTTTATGATTTTCATGGGCATTCAAAATGTTGACCCTTTGTAGGGGAGGTACCAGAAGGAGTGGACCGATATATTCCATCCTCACGGCAGATCTTGTGTTAGTAGAAACAATGGTATGTGTGTAATTTGAAGTCAATCGAATTCTTATATCACATTATATAAGAGTTATAACTATTAAAAATTTTGACCCTTTGTATGAGAGGTACTTGATGGAGTGAATTCACATCGTCCATTTTCGCACCCGACCTTGCACTGACACAAATATTAGAATTTTCAAAGTTGGAGCAAAATCGAATTATCGTTTTTATACCCTACAACACTATGTGTTGGGGGTATTATAAGTTTGATTGGGCCAAAAATTATGTAACACCACGAAATATTGATTTCCCACATAGGAAAGTATATATGGATCTTCCTATCTCGCCGAGCTGAGTCGATCTAGCTATGTATGTCCGTCCGTCCGTCTGTCCGTCTGTCCATGTTAATTTGTAATCACGCTACAGGTCGCAATTATGGCCCGATCCTTACGAAATTTTGCACGAAGGTGGGGTTAGGGTCAGAATAGAAGCCTATTTCTTTTGGAGATGATCGCCAAATGTTTAGGGGTTGAAATGTACCAAATACTGAAAAAATGTCGGATTTTGCAGTAGCTATACAGCTATACAGCAATTATAGACCAATCGACGCGGAATTTCGCATGTAGCTAGAGTTTAGGGCGGGGAAGAAGCCTACCAATTTGGGTGGTCATCGGATAATATTTAGCGGGCAAAATAGACCATATCTTTTTTGTTGAAAAAATTTAAAATTTTTCATTAAACCGCAAATATTTTAAATCCCGGCGAAATCTCAAAGCCATGACAAGGTTACTTCTGATCTTTACATTGATGGTAGGATCCAAAAAATCGAATATATAGCAAAATATGTGCGATATATATGTCTATCAAAGAAGATATGCTTGAAAGTTCTCATATATGTCGAGAACGGCTGAACTGATTTCGACAGTTCTGATTAATTCAGAATGGCCTCTTGGCAGGAAAGAAAAAACGTCTAAAAAAATCGCATAAAAATATCTCTCTAATGATGAAAATATTGATTTTTTAAAATTTTCTCATATTTTTTCAATTTTGTCATATTTTTGGCATATTTTAATTTTGAATCAAACATTTGGTAATATTTCTACAGCTAACAAAACTAAGTAGTTAGGATATCATATACAGATCGCATTTATCACCCGATCCTTACGAAATTTTGCATGGTGATAAGATGAGGGTCAGAATAGAAGCCTACTCTTTTTGGAGATGATCACCATATATTTAGGGGTTGAAATGGACCAACAAAACTGCAAAATTGTAAGCAGGCCGTAATTATCGCCCGATCCTCACGCACATTTGAATGGGTGTTACCGGACATTGCAAAAGCCAACTTTTGTAGACAAAATACGAAAATGTCCATTCCAGAGACTTTTTGGAGAATTCAAAATTACAGGAAAGACGCACTTCTGACTATTTCGTTAACGCTGATTTCGTTGAAGACTGTAGCCTTTGCTTACTTGTTTCAATTTGACTTTTAATATTTTGTAAGCGGAAGCGTGTGGAATGCACCACTGCTATTGTGTAAAAAATTACGAACATTATTTACAGGCGATATCCGAAATACGGAAAAGGCGAACACCAGGCTTTTTTATGCTGATTTTTTTGACGAATATAGCCAAATATCGTAGACAAGCAAATCATATAGATGACCCAGAAAAAATTTCCTGATCACACAATTGCAGCCAATCGACACGTCTGAAAAGAGAGTTGAGAGCAGGGGGAATTCTAGCATTTTGGATGATCATTGGATTATATTTAGCTGAAAATTGGACCACAACACCTAACAGCACGACGGAGTACGTAAATGTTGGGCAAATGCCCCTAGCCAAAATTGTAAGGGTAATATGTGGGCAGTGCTCCGTGACGCAATTTTAAACGCGAAATCTTTCAAAATGGATTTGGGCATAAAGGGGCTTCTAACATATTGTAGTGTTGTAGGGTATCACATGGTCGGCCCCGCACGACTATAGCCTTTGCTTACTTGTTTATTCTTTGCAGTAATTTTTTTTTGGAAATGTTGGCCTTGGTGGTGTTGTTACCAGAAGGTGTGGACCGATATTGCCCATCTCCGAACTTAATCTAAGTTTGATAATAATATTACGATGTACAAAGATTAGACCAAATCGCACATCGCTAGATCTACTCCAAATGTTCTGAAAAGGATTCGGCCCAAAGAGACCAAATTCCATTTTTAAAGGGCGAGCCATGCTCCATTTTGAAAGGGCAAGGGGCAAAGTTTCCCCTCT